ACCACAGAAAGCTAGACGAGGTGCGGAGGTTTTATAATAAGAAGTTCGAAGAAGAGCATGATGTTCACCGTAACCTGGCCTCGTCAGAGCAGTACTCGAGACACAGCGAGAAGGGGAATACCAATACGTGTCAGGAGTGATGGGAATAGCCTACAACCCCTTCTTAGACTCAGAAACTGGAGGCGCTCACAGGAACCACGAGGTGGCGGAGCTACTGAAGTTTTGGACAGAAAGAATAATGGAAATAGACGCGGTGGAGAAAGAGGGGCCGAGCCTGGGCCTGATTCTTGAGAAAACACCGGAGGTGGTGAGCATACCGCGCTCGAACAAGAGAGTTGAAGTGAACATGGGTGATGGCAATGGCTTGCTGATCACGAACTTGGGAGTGGTATGGAAGTTACTAAGACCCTCCTGATGCCCACATCCCCACGCGAGTCTGATCGAGGAGACCACCGAACGGGTGAGGTTAGCTCCAACGGAAGATGAAGATTTGGCAAAGTTGAGTGTGGTGCACAAACTGATCTTACCTCAGATGAAGGAGTCAGGCGAGAAGACGAACAGTCTCGAGTCAGCCAAGAAGATGGAGCCGGGTAGCTGTCTGGATTCTACGTGTGGGAGTGGAGAGCACACCTGCGATGGACGATCATGTGTCAGGATATTGTCCTTTCAAAAAGAAGACCTGGTTACTTGGTTTGAAGACATCACAGAAAGGGAGAAAAATGAAGTGCAAATAGTTGCGGAGTGTTACGCGAGAACTACGGTGAATATAGCGACAGCTCTCGGATTCTCCTCGAGAATGTGTAGTCTGCAGTCACTGGAGAGGCTAGAGTCTGAACACCATTTAGTGACGGCGTTGAGCGTGGAATCATGGCCGGGAGTGTTGCAGGTGACTCAAAAACATATCCGGAGCTGGAAGGTTGGTCTCGAGGCGGAAATGGGGTTTCCCATGAGCGAAGCTTATGGCCTGCCATTGAACGCAAAATCCCTGATAGGATCAATGATGGCCAATTTGTGCTAAAGCCACTACCCACTGCACATGGCGATGGTGGAAGCATCCAGCCAGAGAATATTGGTGGACAAGGCCTTCTCAGTGCCCAAGTGCGTGAGGTTGGCTCGGATATCGCATCACTCGCACAAGTTGTTGAAAAAAATCAGAGGGACAGTAACAAAAGAATTGAGAGATGACTTGAGTGAAATCTGGGGAGAAGAACTTTTGAAGTTGGAGAGTGAGAACACAAGCGATCACGAGAGACAAAACGTGATCGGAAAACCTGTGGGAGGTGCTCCAAACATGGAAGATAACGACACGATGCATGAGAAAATGATAGACCTTCAGCCTCTCTTGGAAGCCTCGGGGGAGCGTAACCTCAGGAGCATTGAGATCACCCATGGAGAATGCCCATGCCACTGTTTGGCACAAACGGTGTGGTATCCAGATCACAAGAACCTTTGCCTGGTGTGGGATAGGGAAGAAATTCGGTCGATCGGACTACCGGATCACCGGCAGAAGGTGACGCTCTTAGTAGTGAGTACGATGTTGGCTCTGATTGGATAGAAGAGAATATAACGAAGTATCGGGAAGCGACGACGCCAACGGCTGAGTCAATATATGCGATAGACTACAGCAGGAGACTAGAGTTGTTTGAGACTGCGTGCAAAGTATTCGCCATACCAACGGAAGTCAGACACGTATGGAGCCGTTTGAGGTACTTTCCATGGTTTCGGGCGACGCTGACGTCTTGGTTGTCTTGGCGTCGCTGACAACGAAAAATCACATGAGAAAGCATCAGAAGGAGTATCGACAGTTCCAGGCCGAGATTGGGCCGGAAGCTTTCAAGAGACCCCTGTTAACCCATCGAAATGCGATCACGACAGGATGGAAGAGAGTGGGTAAAATGTCTAGAGACAATACCAAAGCGAGGGAATCGATACTAGAGGAGGACCTGGCGAAGAACGTGAGCTTGAGCCTGCACAACTCCTTTTGTTTGAACGGGGAATCTAGGGTGAAGGCACTACCCAACCAGGCAAAGAGGTTGCAGGAGCAAAGAGAATGGATGCGATCCTATGAACAGCTGAAGGCTTGGGAGGAGATCGTGATTAGCTCCGATGATGAAGAAGAACTGTTGAGACAGTTTGCCGTATCTAGTACTTCAGGGTGCGGCACCTCCAAGGCGAAGAGTGCGAGATGAGTGGATGGTTCGAATGGATCTTGAGTCTTGAGAGGGAAGGGGGGCTTGAGTGTGGATCCGGGTGAAACATGGGTTCACGAAAAAGAAATTTTAACGAAACAGATATAGTTATTAATATGCTATACCTATTATATAAATCAAAATGCTGCATGACAATTTCCTAATTGAATGGGACAAAAGAAATTTTAAATAATTGGCTTGAAAAGCGAGAATTCATAGGTGCAGGTGTGTGCAGATTTTGATTGCTGTTCAGCGATAGTGTGAAAATTTTACATGGCCGTGAATTTTGGGGTGTAGATAAGCTTAAGTCTGCTGCAAACTTCTGTAAATGACCACTGGCACTGTACCTTGAGCAACACTCGGTTTTCGGGGACTCACTGGCAGACGACAGCACGCGATGAGGACATCGATCTCGAGTCCGGGGAGTATGTGCCAGTCGGTCATATTTGGAAGTTTGACCTTGAGAGAAGCAAAAAACACTTGATTTTGGAGTGAAATTTAATTTTTCAAAAATTCGAATGGAGCCTGTGATGCACGATTTTCTCGCGATAACTGAAAGTCGAAAAAGAGAATTCAGAACAATCGAGTGACAATCGCGGGAAAGTTGCAAGATAAATCACTAGGAAATTGCCATTCGCAATTTCCGAGACAATAATAATCCAGAGTAGAGCTGTCCCATTCGAAACAGAGGCAAGTGTATTCCCACGAACTGGATTATTGTGACTTGACTGGAGTATTATTCTAAACTGGACCAGAGTGAACCTTCGGTGGAAAGGTGGACAGCTTGAGTGTCCCAATGGTCCACATAAAACTGCATTCTAGAGTACAAACTTATTCCTGTTGTTGAAACTGACAAACATTAAACTCATTTAGTTACACTATTTAATTCTTGAGTTGCTTACCGACTTAATTACTCCCAATTCTTGAGCGTGCTACAATGTGAGTACCAATTTAAATTTCTAGAGTGTGTTTTATAATTGTTATGTTGAGGTAAGGCGAGTACTAGGTTGATCCATCTGAAATGGATCAAAGTTCCACTGTCAAATAAAAAGTAACTTAACGGATTGTTCCGACCCGGATTTTAACGGCGTTCATGTATTTTGGGTATCCAGAGACCTAAGTATGGGGACGTTCTTAATTCGAGTGGGGGGATATTTTAGTAGTAGCCTTTAAGCTGTAACGGGTCGTAGTCTCATGTCACAAACGAACCGAATTGGCTCCGACTGATTTGAGGTAGAAAAACACAAGAGATAGTGTCCCTGACTCTTGAGCCAATGGTTATAGGGCCTATTTTTCTTAAGCCTCATGTGTGACTGCAGTAGACGAATGTTACATAGCAGTAGACGAATGTTACAGTAGACGAATGTTACATTATTTTTTTTCTCAAAATTTGAAGCTCCCAACCCTGTAGTTGGGCGCTGTCAGAGTACTCTAAAGAGTTACAAATCTTGCCTCCAAATATGACAGTTCAAATCCTTGTAGTTTTTGAGATATGACTGTTCAAATCCTTGTAGTTTTTGAGATATGACGTTTTTTGTGATTTTTCAGAAAACATATAATTTTTTTTTCGTAAAATCTGAAATTCCCAACCCTGTAGTTGTTTCTTGTCAGAGTAATCTCAAAGATTGCGAATCTTGCCTCCGAATAAGATTGCTCATTTCTTTGTAGTTTTCGAGATATGACGTTTTTTTGTGATTTTTTCAAAAATTTTCAGAAAACTTAAATTATTATTAGTTTTTAAAAATCTGAAATTCCCAGCTCTGTAGTTAGGTCCAGACAGAGTAATCTCAAAGATTGCGAATCTTGCTTCCAAGTATGGTTGCTCAATTTTTTGCAGTTTTCGAGATATGACGTTTTTTGTGATTTTCCAAAAATTTTCAGAAAAGTTCAGAAAGTATACTTTAATTATTTTTCAAAATTTGAAATTTCCAACGCTATAGTTCGGTGTTGTCAGGGTACTCTAAAGAGTTGCGACTGCTCTAATGCTTTTAGTTTCCGAGATTTGACGTTTTTTGACTTTTTCAAAATTTCTCGCAGAACTTATCTACAAAGAAATTCAAAAAAATTGAAAATACTAACTTGAAGAAGATACAACCTTATTGTCAGCGTACACCCGGGCGTCTCAAATCTTGCCTCCTAATATGAATGCTCAAATCCTTTTAGTTCCCGAAATAAGACGTTTTTTTTTTTTCAATTTTTTTTTTCAAGAAACTTAGGTTTGAAAAAATTCACAAAATTTTGGGATTCCTAACCCTATAATAGGGTGCTCTTAGTGGTTGCAAATCTGGCCTCCAAATTTCTCCAGAGGCCCATTAAGTTTTCGAGATGACGCTTTTAAAATGTAAAAGTTCGAATTTACCAACCCTGTAATTGGGTGCAGTCAGAGTACACTAAAAGTTTGCAGATGTTGTTTCCAATATATGCGGTTTTTCATGAGCTGTCGTAAAGTTTCGAAGCACCGAAGGTGCGTTAAATGCTAGTTTTTTTAAATTGTAATGCATAATAAATTTTTTTCTCGTGTCGACTTACGTATTCTTATTGAAGAAACTTAACCCGTATCGAGTTTGATTTCAATCACATCAACTCTAATCATCTCCTTTTTGACGTCAATGTCACTTCTATGTCTAGCAAAATTCCTAGAATTTTGACTGGAATATGTGATGAAGGTACTCTTGATTGTAACTTCGCTTACTATAATACTTTTGTCCTACTGATTATCTTCGAGAAAAAACAGTAAAAAAGAAAAAATTGGAAATATCGGAAATCAGGATGCCACAATCCCTCTTCAATGTCTGCGAATCTTTCAGACGGCATGGCTTCAATTGAAGAAGAAATGATACATAGAAGGCTACTGGTTGAAGGTGATACTGGAGGAGACGACAAAAGGATGACACAGTTGCTAAGGTCAATTCTTAAATTGGGAGATCTCTCAGGACCTACCGATCAAGTCGACAACCCGACGGAAGCGGCCTTTAAAATAATCACGACACTGAATCAGGCTGAAGCGGGAATTCGGAGGTGTTCTTCGATTTGTAAAATGAATGAAGATGAAGTTGAATTCTATGAACGAGAACTGGATCAAATAGAGAGGGCAATAGATGAGTCCAAGGGATCAGTGCAAACATTCAAAACCTCCCTTGAAGACGCGAAAAAGGTTCGAAAACATAAGCAAGCTTTCGACTCGTTGGCTCAAACTATTTTAAAAGAGCCGAGTCGAGAATTAAGTCACAAAAGACTTGAGGCGATCAGCGCTGAGATGGAGCAACTGAAGAAAACTGAAAGCTATTTGCAGGAGGAACAGAGAGACGTTGATAGACATTTCAAGCTTTTCGCGTTTGCTTTAGCTCAACTCAAATCGCATCTAAAGGATAAAGAATCAAAAGATAATGATTCAAATCACTTGGAGTCCAAACAAGGCACAGATGATGACGAAATAATGGAAGTCACGCCTGTTAAATAAATAAAACTGTTACGTCTTTGTTATATTTGTTGTTTATGTTATTTAAACTTCGCGCAATAAATGTTTTATCTCAAAATAGTCGGTTCAAGTATTGGAAGTTTGCCAATTTTTATTCAAATTTTGAAGATTTTATCCTTAAAGCGTAGCGCGACTTCTTTATTCGTGGCGAATTATCCCGCTCAACAAAATGGTTCCAAATTGAATTGAATTGAGGCTAGCTAGTCGGCCGTATTAATTACAAAAGTTTTCACACATGATCTTTGATATTGTCCGAAATTTATGGGTTTTCAACATTTTTTTTCGATAAGGATTAAGGAGCAGTGCTTTGCCCTGATATACGAGCAGTCTTGTTATCTTCGAGGTGCACTTTTGGCTATTCAAGGTACGCTTGTAGTCTTTAATCGGAGCTACACTTTTTTCATGCAAATTTTTTTCTTACAAATCTGTCAGTTATTGAACTTGATTTATTTTTGTACCCTAAAGTCTGCGGTTCGAGTTCCGGTCGGACTTGTTTTTTGTTCAATATGTAGAAAATTTGAAATTTGATTTTTTTTTCGGGATAAATTAAAGGATCGGATTTTCGTTTTAGTTAACGTTCAATATTTTTCGTGTCAATAATTTCTTGTGACATTTTTGTTTTCGGCTCAGTGTGCGTCTTCCTATGTTTTTTGGCTTTGTTTTACGTAATAGAACAAGGGCTTCTGAGATACTCCATTTTTATGGCAAGTAACTTTTTATCGGTTACTCAAACGGTTCTTTCTTTCTACTTGCGAGAACTAATGACTTGTAATCGAGAACCAGACTTGTTCCACGTAATCAACTTTTTATACTAATTTGAAGAAAATCAACTTGCTTTACTATGGACCTCAACAGCTTCGAGACCTCTTCTCTTTTGGTTTTTCTCTTTTAGTAATGCGCTTGCCCAAAGATAGATAGTTCTGAAGTTCGAATACCGGACGTATACGCATTCATGTTTCGATTGTATTTTTTTTCTGCGAAATTTTGTCTGCTTGTTTTTTTGCCGGCTTTATTTCCACAACATCGATCAAATAGATTCGGCAGATGTTATATCGTCTTTTTTCCATTGTTCAATTTGGAAGGCAGTAATAAATTTTTGGTTCGACCATTGATAATGGGGAAAATGGGGGGTGTGGCTTTGGGTTCGGGTGTGTTTAAGTTTTTTATCCACGCAAAATCAGGTATTACAAATAATCATCTGAATGGGTCGAGTGATATGGCAAGTTGAAGCCCATTTCAGTTGTGATTCGAACAATATTATAAATTTTGCAATTAGTTTTCCCAGTTTTGGGTTTAAATATTTTGATTTTAAGCACAATTCTGAGCGAGTAAAGCGACCGAGTAACAATTTTTATATGAAAAATTACTTTAATTTAGACTTTTACGCTAAAAAATACCCAGTTTTGTTATAGAAAAAACGAGTTATGAATGTTTCTTTTTAGTGCTTTCTTGGGAATAATGGTTTTCCTAAAGAAATTTAAAATTTTTATGCAAAAAATTATTTAAAATTTTTCTTTTTTTGCTTTGTCATTCATTTTTTGCGGACAAATTTTAATGATTATGTCTAAATCAGTAATTTTCTATGCGTTTGTATAACTCCAATCACACCACGCACAAAAAATGAAATTAATTTGAGTAAAAGAAACTAAAAATACCTTTGTTGTTTTTTGTGAATATGGTCGAAACATTGTGCAACGTGCACAGCAGCCGGCTTTCCTTTTTATTTATTGAATGATGCAGGAATGTGATGTAAAGACTTCGAGATTGCTTAAGTCTTTACTTCACACTCCGATTAATTGCGCGAAACTTTTAATCGCATTTTTTTGTTGTTTTTTTTGTTTTTTTTCGGCTGAATAGTCGTCTACCTAAGTTTCATCGGCTGATTGGCAGCTCTTTTAGCGACAATAATGACTTTTTAACGCTGTTGACTGTGTTTGAACATTGAAATTGAAGATCAGTAAACACAAATGGATGAAATTTTTTTAGATATAATTTTTTTTGTCATTTTTAAAAAAACTTTGCGATCTTGTCTCATTTTCTATGAGCCAGCTTGCAATGCTTTGCTCGCATTGTTTTAGCAGTGCTGCAAAGCTTCGATTTGCCTCTCTTTTCCCTTTGACCCCAATCCAGACAAAAAAGCACCACAGTTTACGGAGAGCTATTGTTTGCTGAGTGCGGGTTATAATAAGAAGAGCCCTTGACCAAATCTTAGAGATCCGAACTACAAGTAATAGGCTTCCAAGCATTTAATTTTATACGGAAACTTTTAATGAAAACTTGCCCAGTTTTTGAAGACTACTGAAAATTATACGCTTGAATTTTCCCGACTGCCATAGGTAGCAAGAAAAGTAAGTTATCTGGTGTTTTTACTTGTGCTCAAAATGGTGGCTTATCTGAAAAAATCTGATTTGCAAAAAATTTCTGGGCGTTTTTTTTCTTAGCAGCGAGAAAATGTTTGTCTCTTCATTGTCATCCGAATTACCAATGAAAGGGTTTTCTTATGATGCTATATCCCGGACGGATGAAGGGTTTTTGCGGGACCATATTTTCAAAAAATCCCAAATTATCGCTTTTTTGGCACGTATTCTGTCTCAAATTTAGAAAATTTTAGCCCCAGAAGCTCCGATAGAAAATTTTTAGGACTGGAGGACCAAAAATTGTTATTGTAAAAATGTATCGAATAGCAGCTCTTTGGGTAGTAATAGGTTAGATGCTCCCTGAAATCTTCTCTGCATATTTTACTAGACTCGTGTGAAAACTTTTTGTGGTACAAATTTTGTGTTAACAAAAAGTACGCGAATGCAATGTAACTGTGTACTGCGTAGTCAAAATGATATTGCAAAGTTCAAGCTGAGCGAAAATCCGAAATAAAGTTTCAGAAGGAATGTCAAAGAAGGACGCAAGATGCGCGGTTTCTGACGATGCCGAAATTCAGTTCGTCAAGACCGTTAACAGGGGCAAAAATCGCGGAGAAAAGACCAAAGTTTCAACAGAACCAGGCAAGGCTAAGGGTCGTTTCTGCGATGACATTGTTCAAAGTTCGATTCAATCGGCACCCGAGGCGGATGTTATAGAAATTCTACGAGCTCCAAATTCAAGCAATTCTTATTTTTCACCAAAGCGAACAACCGATGGTTTCAAAAAAGCGACAGTGAACAGATCGATTGCATCTTCAGCTCGAAGATACGAAAATTTTGTGCCTCCAACGAGAAATAGAAATTCCTTAAGTAGTGCTACAACCGTAAGTATAGATGAACATTTGGCAAACAGTGAATCAAACGCTAATACAGGTCAAGGAGTCTTATTCGAAGAATTGTCTGCATACTCACCAAGAAGTATTTCAGTGCCTTCGACGAGTTCAATGCCGATACAAACTAACTTGTATCCTCAACAATTACCATCCCCTACCCTGGGAAACGCAAATCCATTCACCGATGGTCGAAACATCATAATCAATACGAATGTTTACACAAATTCACAGGTTGTTCATTCGTTTAATACTTAATTTTTGTTAACTTTTGTAAAAAAAAAATAAAGGTCAAATGAAGCTCAAGAAATGGAAGTTTTTACGCCAACAGTGGTTGAAACTCAATCCTTTTTGCTAAATTTTTGAAAAAATCTTGATTCTCCGATTGTAGTTTGAACTGCAATCAGGTAAATTTTAATCAAGTTACACTCGGCGAGATTTAAAAGGTATCATATCAAAAGAAATCTGTCGTTAGTTACGCCGTTCAGCATGTTCGATTCATAGTTATCAATCAAAAAAGAAAAACACTTACGAGAAAACCGATTATTCGAAAAAAATCGACCGAACGTTCATTGAAAAACGATATTCTCTCAGATTGTATTATGCTCTTAGAGCATGTTACTTATTTTTCAAAAATGATGTACAGTCGATCGGTCAAATGAAAAATCAATGCTATGTTCGCTAGTTGGATGGAAAAGATGGAAAAATCGGAAGACAAAAAATAGTGATAAAGCAAAAGATAGGAGTGTAAGTCCAGCTTCCACGGTTACATTATCTTCAGATGCTGGATCCGAATCAGAGGACAAAAAGTCCGATAAAGTGATTCGACTACCGACAGGACTTCAGAAGTCACGTTTGCTGCTAAATAAAGATCCGACCTCAGAATCGAAATCGAAACAGTCTACTCTTAATTTTACATCGTCTTTGGTTAAAAAAGAAAATGTTCCCAGGCGGGGAATTCCAAATTTGAAACAACATTTCAAGAAAAGTTGCAAAAAAATCCAGTACGAAGACTCAGATGATTCAATAATTCATTCTTCGTCGAATGAGGATGAAAAGAAACTTGTTTCTGAGTCAACCAGATCCAAAAATCAAATTGGGTCGGCAAAAACGATCAGTTTTTCCAGCGCTGGATCCAAGAACAGAACAAATATTGGAAAAGGTAAATTTGGAGTGAAAGCCAGGGACCCAAAAATAAAAGCGAGGTGCAATAAAAGCTCAGAAGCTACCGATTCAGAAGACAGTTTGAGTGACAGCGAGGCTGAAAATAGACGAAGAAAGCGAATAACAGAAATTATCCAGGCAAATAGAATGCAAAGGTTCAAGAATCAAGCGCGTGTATCGGATGAAGATGACGACGTACGAGAAATCAACCCGAACTCCATAACTGAACCGAGAAGATCAAGAAAGCCGAACAGAATCATGACGGACGCCGAGTGTAACAAAGAAACACGAAAGGCATGTCGGGAAGAAAAAGAAAGAATAGCTCGTGTAAATAGATATGCTAAGAAAGGCTTATATAAGTGGGAGTTAGTCGGGGATGCGAAAGTTTATTCGAAAGTTTGGTTGGAAAAGGTGACCAAAAATGGTGTGGACGAGCCCCTTGTCGAAGTTCAAGATAAAGTAGCCTGTCAGTTAAAGGAACACCAAGTCGATGGAATTCAATTCATGTACAATTGCTTACTAGAATCCGTTCAAAGGTCTAAAACATCTGACGGAAGTGGCTGTATATTGGCTCATTGCATGGGATTAGGAAAGACCCTATAAGTCATCGCTTTTTTGGACGCAGTTCTATCTTCAGCAAATTTGGAACATTTTCAAAGAGCGATTGTGATTGCGCCATGTAGTACATTGTTCAATTGGAAGAAAGAGTTCAAATCTTGGCTTGGGGGAGACAGGAATTTTTCGGTCTTGAATCTGGACAGGTTCAAGAGAGACCGTCCTAAAATGATGCAAAAGTTGCACGAATGGAGCGAAGAACGCGGAGTGTTGATCATTGGTTATGAAATGTTCTCTAACTTAGTAAGGCAAAGCATGGCAGAAACTACCAATACAGCGCATTTATACAATTGATTGCATTGCATTGCAATTGATTGCATAAACTTTAATTGCATTTTTTTTGTTTTTTTTTTACTTTTTTTTCGGCTGAATGGTCGTCTACCTAAGTTTCATCGGCTGATTGGCAGCTCGTTTAGCAACAATAATCACTTATTTAACGCTGTTGCTTGTGTTTTGCGACTGTGTTTCAACATTGAAATTGAAGATCAGTCAACACAAATGGATGAAATTTTTTAGACGTAATTTTTTTTGTCATTTAAAAAAAAACTTTGCGATCTTGTCTCATTTTCTATGAGCCAGCTTGCAATGCTTTGCTCGCGTTTTATTGCCAGTGCTGCAAAGCTTCGAGTTGCCTCTCTTTTCCTTTTGACCCCAATCCAGACAAAAAAGCACCATCACAGTTTACGGAGAGCTATTGTTTGCTGAGTGCGGGTTATAATAAGAAGAGCCCTTGACCAAATCTTAGAGATCCGAACTATAAGTCATAGGCTTCCAAGCATTTAATTTTATACGGAAACTTTTTATGAAAACTTGCCCAGTTTTTGAAGACTACTGAAAATTATACGCTTGAATTTTTCTGACTGCCATATCTGGTGTTTTTACTTGTGCTCAAAATGGTGGCTTATCTGAAAAAATCTGATTTGCAAAAAATTTCTGGGCGTTTTTTTTCTTAGCAGCGAGAAAATTTTTGTCTCTTCATTGTCATCCGAATTACCAATGAAAGGGCTTTCTTATGATGCTATATCCCGGAAGGATGAAGGGTTTTTTGCGGGACCATATTTTCGAAAAATCTAAAATCGCTTTTTTGGCACGTATTCTGTCTCAAGTTTAGAAAATTTTAGCCCCAGAAGCTCCGATAGAGAACTTTTAGGACTGGAGGACCAAAAATTGTTATTGTAAAAATTTATCGAATAGCGGCTCTTTGGGTAGTAATAGGTTAGATGCTCCCTGAAATCTTCTCTGGATATTTTACTAGATTCCTGTGAAAACTTTTTGTGGTACAAATTTTGTGTTAACAAAAAGCACGCGAATGCAATGTAACCGTGTACTGCGTAGTCAAAATGATATTGCAAAGTATAAGCTGAGCGAAAATCCGAAATAAAATTTCAGAAGGGATGGCAAAGAAGGACGCAAGATGCGCGGTGTCTGACGATGCCGAAATTCAGTTCGTCAAGACCGTTAACAGGGGCAAAAATCGCGGAGAAAAGACCAAAGTTTCAACAGAACCAGGCAAGGCTAAGGGTCGTTTCTGCGATGACATTGTTCAAAGTTCGATTCAATCGGCACCCGAGGCGGATGTTATAGAAATTCTACGAGCTCCAAATTCAAGCAATTCTTATTTTTCACCAAAGCGAACAACCGATGGTTTCAAAAAAGCGACAGTGAACAGATCGATTGCATCTTCAGCTCGAAGATACGAAAATTTTGTGCCTCCAACGAGAAATAGAAATTCCTTAAGTAGTGCTACAACCGTACGTATAGATGAACATTTGGCACACAGTGAATCAAACGCTAATACAGGTCAAGGAGTCTTATTCGAAGAATTGTCTGCATACTCACCAAGAAGTATTTGAGTTCCTTCGACGAGTTCAATACCGATACAAACTAACTTGTATCCTCAACAAATACCATCCCCTACCCTGGGAAACGCATATCCATTCACCGATGGTCGAAACATCATAATCAATACGAATGTTTACACTGATTCACAGGTTGTTCATTAGTTTAATACTGAGTTTTTGTTAACTTTTGTAAAAAAAATAAAGGTCAAATGAAGCTCAAGAAATGGAAGTTTTTACGCCAGAAGTGGTTGAAACTCAATCCTTTTTGCTGAATTTTTGAAAAAATCTTGATTCTCCGATTGTAGTTTGAACTGCAATCAGGTAAATTTTAATCAAGTTACACTCGGCGAGATTTAAAAGGTATCATATCAAAAGAAATCTGTCGTTAGTTACGCCGTTCAGCATGTTCGATTCATAGTTATCAATCAAAAAAGAAAAACACTTACGAGAAAACCGATTATTCGAAAAAAATCGACCGAACGTTCCTTGAAAAACGATATTCTCTCAGATTGTATTATGCTCTTAGAGCATGTTACTTATTTTTAAAACATGATGTACAGTCGATCGGTCAAATGAAAAATCAATGCTATGTTCGCTAGTTGGATGGAAAAGATGGAAAAATCGGAAGACAAAAAATAGTGATAAAGCAAAAGATAGGAGTGTAAGTCCAGCTTCCACGGTTACATTATCTTCAGATGCTGGATCGCAATCAGAGAACAAAAAGTCCGATAAAGTGATTCGACTACCGACAGGACTTCAGAAGTCACGTTTGCTGCTAAATAAAGATCCGACCTCAGAATCGAAATCGAAACAGTCTACTCTTAATTTTACATCGTCTTTGGTTAAAAAAGAAAATGTTCCCAGGCGGGGAATACCAAATTTGAAACAACATTTCAAGAAAAGTTGCAACAAAATCCAGTACGAAGACTCAGATGATTCAATAATTCATTCTTCGTCGAATGAGGATGAAAAGAAACTTGTTTCTGAGTCAACCAGATCCAAAAATCAAATTGGGTCGGCAAAAACGATCAGTTCTTCCAGCGCTGGATCCAAGAACAGAACAAATATTGGAAAAGGTAAATTTGGAGTGAAAGCCAGGGACCCAAAAATAAAAGCGAGGTGCAATAAAAGCTCAGAAGCTACCGATTCAGAAGACAGTTTGAGTGACAGCGAGGCTGAAAATAGACGAAGAAAGCGAATAAGAGAAGTTATCCAGGCAAATAGAATGCAAAGGTTCAAGAATCAAGCGCGTGTATCGGATGAAGATGACGACGTACGAGAAATCAACCCGAACTCCATAACTGAACCGAGAAGATCAAGAAAGCCGAACAGAATCATGACGGACGCCGAGTGTAACAAAGAAACACGAAAGGCATGTCGGGAAGAAAAAGAAAGAATAGCTCGTGTAAATAGATATGCTAAGAAAGGCTTATATAAGTGGGAGTTAGTCGGGGATGCGAAAGTTTATTCGAAAGTTTGGTTGGAAAAGGTGACCAAAAATGGTGTGGACGAGCCCCTTGTCGAAGTTCAAGATAAAGTAGCCTGTCAGTTAAAGGAACACCAAGTCGATGGAATTCAATTCATGTACAATTGCTTACTAGAATCCGTTCAAAGGTCTAAAACATCTGACGGAAGTGGCTGTATATTGGCTCATTGCATGGGATTAGGAAAGACCCTACAAGTCATCGCTTTTTTGGACGCAGTTCTATCTTCAGCAAATTTGGAACATTTTCAAAGAGCGATTGTGATTGCGCCATGTAGTACATTGTTCAATTGGAAGAAAGAGTTCAAATCTTGGCTTGGAGGAGACAGGAATTTTTCGGTCTTGAATCTGGACAGGTTCAAGAGAGACCGTCCTAAAATGATGCAAAAGTTGCACGAATGGAGCGAAGAACGCGGAGTGTTGATCATTGGTTATGAAATGTTCTCTAACTTAGTAAGGCAAAGCATGGCAGAAACTACCGATACAGCGCATTTATACAATTGATTGCATTGCATTGCATTGCAATTGATTGCATAAACTTTAATGGCATTTTTTTTGTTTTTTTTTTTACTTTTTTTTCGGCTGAATGGTCGTCTACCTAAGTTTCATCGGCTGATTGGCAGCTCGTTTAGCAACAATAATCACTTATTTAACGCTGTTGCTTGTGTTTTGCGACTGTGTTTCAACATTGAAATTGAAGATCAGTCAACACAAATGGATGAAATTTTTTAGACGTAATTTTTTTTTGTCATTTAAAAAAAAACTTTGCGATCTTGTCTCATTTTCTATGAGCCAGCTTGCAATGCTTTGCTCGCGTTTTATTGCCAGTGCTGCAAAGCTTCGAGTTGCCTCTCTTTTCCTTTTGACCCCAATCCAGACAAAAAAGCACCATCACAGTTTACGGAGAGCTATTGTTTGCTGAGTGCGGGTTATAATAAGAAGAGCCCTTGACCAAATCTTAGAGATCCGAACTATAAGTCATAGGCTTCCAAGCATTTAATTTTATACGGAAACTTTTTATGAAAACTTGCCCAGTTTTTGAAGACTACTGAAAATTATACGCTTGAATTTTTCTGACTGACATATCTGGTGTTTTTACTTGTGCTCAAAATGGTGGCTTATCTGAAAAAATCTGATTTGCAAAAAATTTCTGGGCGTTTTTTTTCTTAGCAGTGAGAAAATTTTTGTCTCTTCATTGTCATCCGAATTACCAATGAAAGGGCTTTCTTATGATGCTATATCCCGGAAGGATGAAGGGTTTTTTGCGGGACCATATTTTCGAAAAATCTCAAATCGCTTTTTTGGCACGTATTCTGTCTCAAGTTTAGAAAATTTTAGCCCCAGAAGCTCCGATAGAGAACTTTTAGGACTGGAGGACCAAAAATTGTTATTGTAAAAATTTATCGAATAGCGGCTCTTTGGGTAGTAATAGGTTAGATGCTCCCTGAAATCTTCTCTGGATATTTTACTAGATTCCTGTGAAAACTTTTTGTGGTACAAATTTTGTGTTAACAAAAAGCACGCGAATGCAATGTAACCGTGTACTGCGTAGTCAAAATGATATTGCAAAGTATAAGCTGAGCGAAAATCCGAAATAAAATTTCAGAAGGGATGGCAAAGAAGGACGCAAGATGCGCGGTGTCTGACGATGCCGAAATTCAGTTCGTCAAGACCGTTAACAGGGGCAAAAATCGCGGAGAAAAGACCAAAGTTACAACAAAACCAGGCAATGCTAAGGGTCGTTTCTGCGATGACATTGTTCAAAGTTCGATTCAGTCGGCACCCGAGGCGGATGTTATAGAAATTCTACGAGCTCCAAATTCAAGCAATTCTTATTTTTCACCAAAGCGAACAACCGATGGTTTCAAAAAAGCGACAGTGAACAGATCGGTTGCATCTTCAGCTCGAAGATACGAAAATTTTGTGCCTCCAACGAGAAATAGAAATTCCTTAAGTAGTGCTACAACCGTAAGTATAGATGAACATTTGGCAAACAGTGAATCAAACGCTAATACAGGTCAAGGAGTCTTATTCGAAGAATTGTCTGCATACTCACCAAGAAGTATTTCAGTGCCTTCGACGAGTTCAATGCCGATACAAACTAACTTGTATCCTCAACAATTACCATCCCCTACCCTGGGAAACGCAAATCCATTCACCGATGGTCGAAACATCATAATCAATACGAATGTTTACACAGATTCACAGGTTGTTCATTCGTTTAATACTTAATTTTTGTTAACTTGCAAAAAAAAATTGAAGGTCAAATGAAGCTCAAGAAATGGAAGATTTTACGCCAGAAGTGGTTGAAACTCAATCCTTTTTGCTGAATTTTTGAAAAAATTTTGATTCTCCGATTGTAGTTTGAACAGCAATCAGGTAAATTTTAATCAAGTTATACTGGGCTACATTTAAAACGTATCATATCAAAGGTAATCTGTCATTAGTTACGCCGATCAAAAAAGAAAAGCAATTACGAGAAAACCGCTTGTTCGAAAAAAATCGATCGAACGTTCATTGAAAACGATATTCTCTCAGATTGTATTATGCTCTTAGAGCATGTTACTTATTTTTAAAAAATGATGTACAGTCGATCGGTCAAACGATGAATCAATGCTATGTTCGCTAGCTATGGCTATAAAACTGAAATATTTAAATCATTTTTTTTCGACCATGAGAAAATGCCTGTGAAATATCTCTAAGGGACTTGAATAATGAAAGATCATGAACGAAAGATGTTAAGTTTGAAAAAACCATTGATAATCTATGAGGTTCTCTTGACCGAATCTACTTTAAAAAAGAATAGCCGATTGCTGTGCAAAGTAGTACAGAATTTTCCGACCCAATTTATTAAGAAAATTTTATTACTACTATTTTTTTGCAATTTTGTTGTGTAAGTTCCTGTTCAACTGCAATTGAATTAGGTGAAAAAGGAATAAAAAGCGGTAACTATTATTCAAAAACGTTTCAAAAAAGCTTTGAAGCTTAAGTAGAATTTAAGTTGAGAGGTCATCCTCTCCACAAAATTCGTCTAATTTAGTCTGAAAAAAAAAACGAAAAAAAAAAAGAACACGGCCAATTTTTCTTTAAATTAAGAGAACCTTCTATTTTTTTAGAGTCTTAACCACAACTCCTAGGGCTCTAATATGATAACTCACCTGACTCCCTTCGAGTTTTCCTTAAAGAAGTCAAACTTGGCTGGAATTTTTTTTAAAAAAAAGAACGCACTATAATACATCGTTCCCTTCCACTCTTCAAGTTGTCGGAAAAAAGCCTGCCTAGACCATTGGTGGTTGTCGACCTGTGAGTGGCGGAAACAATAACATGAAAGATAAAATTTTAAATATGAAAAGCTCTTTCATAAGTATGATATTGGTTCGCAACACTTTTCTTGAAGTTTTATGTTAAATCTCTATTTAGCAGATATTTGACTAGACCCACTATTCGACTCATTTTTACCCTTGCGATAAGCATGAGTGTTGCAACCTGTTACAAGAATTTTTTCCCATAAATAACTTTTCACAGAATAACTGAAGTTTTTGGTCATATCCATCTGTACTTTTGTCAACTAACAAACAAATTGTGAGCATGACTGCATTTTAAAAGCCCATTCTATTCGAGTTTTGTTTTAATGTTGACTGTAATTTTACCAGCTCCGATTTCAGTGTATCCGATTTTTTTCGTTGTTCTCCTGTCTTTTTTTGCAGGCTAAAAGGTTTATGTAAGTTTTTGGTAGATCAATTTTTTCAAGACTTCCGCGGCTTTTGTCTCATAATCTTGGTCATGGTATATTTGTGTTGCATCGCAATTGGTGCGAAGCTTCCTTTTGCTCTTATGTGTTAAATTTTCTTTCTCGAATAGGATATATTTTTCTCGGACATTGATTTTGGTGAAAAATCAGGGGCGGATGTAGTGTTGGTGCGGGGGGGGGGGGGGGGGGGCGGACGCTTTTTTTGTCAAAATTTTTCAAAAAGTGCCCAAAAACGGCGCAGAAAATTTAGCCAAAATAGGGGCAAAACAGTGCTTTGGGAGAGCTCGAAAAATCAATTTGGTCGACCTAAAAAAAAAAGGTCGTCAAAATTTTGGAAAATTTTTGAAAATCCGCCCCCCCCCCTCGAGAAAATCCTAGATCCGCCCCTGTGAAAAGTTCTGTGCTAATTACACAGTAACTCGCTATTCTTACCACATTTTGATTTTTTCCATTTAAACTGTTTGATCTGCATATTCGCTTGTATTTAACTGTTAAATGAAAATGTTTTTGTCTATTTTAGCCGAATTCAAACAACGCTCAATCCAGCACTCAGTGTGAATCTTGTCGGACGAAAGGTGTGATGGTGAATGCAGAAGCTCAATGCAACATTCTCGAACCAACCATGACTGTGGCCCCAAAAACACCCGTTATGGTTTCAACTAGCACAATGACCGAGGAAATTGAAGCGTCAGCTGCCAAAGATCCAAATAATGACTCAAATACGGAAGTTCTGGTGACCAATCAACCCAAATCTGGAACCAGGAAAACTTTTTTGTGCAGTGAAAGCGACGAAAATGATATTCCAATTGACTTTTTCGATGCTCTTTTACCGGCTTCGGACAAAGAGCCTGAAGAGTCAGTGGTTGGCGAGTTTGATACAGCCATTGAGCAAGAGAACGAATTAGATGAAAATCAGAAGGATGAGTCTACTGCAACTGAATGTAATCTTCAGGAGTCGAATCCTTTTGTGATCGGCGAAAGTAAGTTCCCATGCACAGTGTCAGAAACAAAAAGTTTAGCAGCTGATTGTGATACGGAAGGATCGTCTGAACAATCCAATCATAGATCCGTTATAAAGATTGGAACACGTTCTTCGAAAATTGAAGATTATGAAGAGGCGGTTGAAAAAGTAGCTAGGAAGTCAAGCACTTATCAGAGAGACATCGATGCTTACAAAAATGCGGGACCCAAAGTCATAGAGACATCTAGTCAAAGTTCAGAGAAATCCGTGATGTCCTTACGGACTCCCGAAAAGCTTAATAGAAGCTCGATCTGTGAAAGAATTTTAAGCCAGTCCTCAAGTGTGATCAGCCTCTCGCCAAGAGTTTCTCGAATCCAAATTGAAAAGTTAGACGATCATGCAAGACGCAGTTTCGCATCTTGCTCCCAGAAGTCGAATGATGTGAACTCAGGTTCAAGTGTGAAAGGAACTCCTGGCAGACTGAAAAAGCGCAATCGATTAGTATCTACTTCAAGTGATGAAATGAGCGACAGTGAGAAGTTAGCTGAATTGAAACGAAAACAAACGAGTCCTTGTAAGTCGCCAATATCGAACAAGAAATCGAAACGCTGTCGAATTTTGGATTCTGACTTTGAGGATTCTGATCATCAACTTGGTCTTGACGCGGAGCTTTTACGAGTACCCAAGTTTAAAAAACCAGTTTCAAGAGCAGTTAACGAAAGTAGTTCAAATTGCAGAAGAAAAAATGAAAGTCTTGACGAGGATGGTTCAGAAGATAATATGGAAGTAAGTCAATCGGTGTTCCGAAGAAGAGTTTCAAATACAGTCGGTGAAATGATTCCAAATGAAGACGAAATCTTCGATGAAGCAAACGACTCCATAAATAATGCTGAGATTTCTAATTCGCGCAATGAATTAATCGGATCAGACGATTCAACTACTGACGAAGATGCTCCTCTAGGCGAGAAAGTTGATGAGTATACACTAGAGAACATAACTCTGGACCGAAACTTGAAAGATCTTCAAAAAAGATGGAAAAATCGGAAGACAAAAAATAGTGATAAAGCAAAAGATAGGAGTGTAAGTCCAGCTTCCACGGTTACATTATCTTCAGATGCTGGATCCGAATCAGAGGACAAAAAGTCCGATAAAGTGATTCGACTACCGACAGGACTTCAGAAGTCACGTTTGCTGCTAAATAAAGACCCGACCTCAGAATCGAAATCGAAACAGTCTACTCTTAATTTTACATCGTCTTTGGTTAAAAAAGAAAATGTTCCCAGGCGGGGAATTCCAAATTTGAAACAACATTTCAAGAAAAGTTGCAACAAAATCCAGTACGAAGACTCAGATGATTCAATAATTCATTCTTCGTCGAATGAGGATGAAAAGAAACTTGTTTCTGAGTCAACCAGATCCAAAAATCAAATTGGGTCGGCAAAAACGATCAGTTCTTCCAGCGCTGGATCCAAGAACAGAACAAATATTGGAAACGGTAAATTTGGAGTGAAAGCCAGGGACCCAAAAATAAAAGCGAGGTGCAATAAAAGCTCAGAAGCTACCGATTCAGAAGACAGTTTGAGTGACAGCGAGGCTGAAAATAGACGAAGAAAGCGAATAAGAGAAGTTATCCAGGCAAATAGAATGCAAAGGTTCAAGAATCAAGCGCGTGTATCGGATGAAGATGACGACGTACGAGAAATCAACCCGAACTCCATAACTGAACCGAGAAGATCAAGAAAGCCGAACAGAATCATGACGGACGCCGAGTGTAACAAAGAAACACGAAAGGCATGTCGGGAAGAAAAAGAAAGAATAGCTCGTGTAAATAGATATGCTAAGAAAGGCTTATATAAGTGGGATTTAGTCGGGGATGCGAAAGTTTATTCGAAAGTTTGGTTGGAAAAGGTGAGCAAAAATGGTGTGGACGAGCCCCTTGTCGAAGTTCAAGATAAAGTAGCCTGTCAGTTGAAGGAACACCAAGTCGATGGAATTGAATTCATGTACAATTGCTTACTAGAATCCGTTCAAAGGTCTAAAACATCTGACGGAAGTGGCTGTATATTGGCTCATTGCATGGGATTAGGAAAGACCCTACAAGTCATCGCTTTTTTGGACGCAGTTCTATCTTCAGCAAATTTGGAACATTTTCAAAGAGCGATTGTGATTGCGCCATGTAGTACATTGTTCAATTGGAAGAAAGAGTTCAAATCTTGGCTTGGACGAGACAGGAATTTTTCGGTCTTGAATCTGGACAGGTTCAAGAGAGACCGTCCTAAAATGATGCAAAAGTTGCACGAATGGAGCGAAGAACGCGGAGTGTTGATCATTGGTTATGAAATGTTTACTAACTTAGTAAGGCAAAGCATGGCAGGAACTACCGATACAGCGCCGAGGCCAAGAAGTAGAATTCCGTTTAGCGACGAACATAAAGAGCTCGTCCGACGTGCTCTGGTGGATCCAGGAGCCGATTTTGTGATTTGTGACGAAGGCCACGAATTGAAGAATGACAAAACTGCAAAAGCGAAGAATATCAAACTGGTCAAAACTCGGAGGCGCATCATACTAACGGGAACACCTTTGCAGAATAATATGACAGAGTATTTCGTCATGATGGACTTTGTAAAACCTTTTCTACTGGGTAATAAAAAAGAGTTCAGCAACAGATTCTCGACCCCCATCGACAAGGGTCAGAAAAGAGACGCCGGGAAGTTTGAAGTGAAGCTAATGCAAAAGCGCACGCATGTGTTGCATAAACAGCTCTCGGGATGCGTACATAGAAGAGATTTCTCGTACATCAAGAAGCTTCTGCCGCAGAAGCGAGAGTTCACCCTGGAAATCAAAATGTGTGACCTTCAAAAAGAAATGTACCTAAAGTTCCTGGAAATGTATGTACAAGCTGGCACCCAGACGGGAGCTCCTGTTGATGCTATGGAGGAGTTTGAAATCAAACGAAGCGCCATCACTAATTTATTCAGGAATAAAAATATGCTGACTAAAATATTATGCCACCCAATAGCAACTTTGAGGACAAAGAATGACGAGTTTGCATGTAATGGGAAGAAAAAGGAGGAAACTAAATTGGACGAACTGAGGGAGGAGTTAGGAACTGTTGCGGATATTTTGGAAAAGAGTTTGGGTAGGTTAAGCCTAAATGACAATATCACACAATGTCAAATGTCAACGAAGTTTAGGCCTACTTGAACAAAAAAAAGAGTTCATATGAACTATCTAGTCAGCTTGAATAGGATATAATGAATTTAGTTCTATAAAATTTATTGAAATTTTGCTCGCTCTTGAATTCATTTAATGTATTCAAAGTGGACGCGAGCTGTTTTAATTTGGTAGTTTTTTTTTAGCGGACGCCAACCTAACAGCAGACGGGATGGATGCCGAACCAGAGGTAGGATGGAACCACTGGCGAGAGTATTTGAACGAGAAGCTATCCAAATACCTCACCAAAAATGCAATCTTCGACATCAACTTGAGTGGAAAGTTTTTCCTGCTTTGTGAAATTCTGAAGTTATCAAATGAGTGTGGAGATAAGTTACTGGTGTTTAGCCAGTCTTTGGTAGTGTTGGATTTGATAGAAGAGATGTTCCGGATGTTCGTGAAAGCACAGGAAGAAAAATGGACGGTAAGTAAACAACGAAAAAAAAATTGAAAAAAAAAAATTTTTAAGGATTCATCAGCAGAACATATTTTACAACAAGTATTCATTCCATACAGGGCATGAAGAAAGATTTTAGCTGACAAATAATGAATCTAAAAAAATAATTAATTCAGTCAGTATTTTAGGCTTCGGATTTCTAACTTATTTTAAAGTCCGTTACAAAAAATTAAGCGTTCAATTATGCTCTTGTTAGAATCATAAGTAATTTTTATCCCATTAATAGTTTCTGGTTTTAGCTGAATTTTTTTTTGGCTTGCAGTCTTTTATAATTTGCCATTAACTTGATTTATGGCTGTGGCTCATAATTTCCTTTCCAGGATATTTCAGAAAACCCCTCAAGAAATAAATACTACTAAATTAACTTCCTTTACTGACTGATATCCAGGCGCACTGATGACGCAGTCAGCCAAAAAGGGATATCTCAAAAAAAGTACCAAGGGGGCGATTTAGGTCATGAGGGGGTGGAATCCCTAAGGGGGTTTCCGCCCACCCCTAAATCTGCTACTGCTGATATTGATATGGTTTTGTCTTGTTTCAGAAAGACGAGCGAGGAATAAATGGATACGAGGCCGGAAATGTCTCATGGAAAAAAGATGAAAATTATTTGCGGTAATTTTTTTCTCTATTTAAGATTTTTCTTAAGGGCTAATGAACAAAATGAATTTTCACTAGGTCGTGTTTTGTCAAAACGCTTTATATTGTATCTTAGCGGTTTGATTTTTCAGTTGTTGAGTTCTCGCGCATTGGAAAAGATACTCGCACATTGGAACTTGAAACTTGACATTGGTTCTTCTTTCCATTTCAGAATCGACAACAAAATTTGCGTTATTGTTCAATTTTGATTTAATATAACCGGACAAAACTTAAGTTTTTTTCGGCGCAACTTGTCTGCTCAAGATTTGTTGGCTTTGTAATTTTAGTTTTTATACTTATTTGATTTTCAGTTCAAAATGAAGACAAATCTCTTATATAGGACATGTGTTTTTATGATTTTTTAACAGGAAAAGTCTTTAGACTTGCGAAACCAAGTGTCTTGTAATCTGGAACTAGACTTTTTTCTTGTAAACTGCTTTTCTTACATAAATAAATTTTAGCTATTGATCCAGTTTTTTTTAAACAAGGGGTCAATTTCATCAAAAAAAGTGTCAATCATAAATTGTTCTTGAAAATCAGAGAGCCTAAAGACAGGTATATGAAAACTCTTGCATAGGTCTTGCTGATTCTTTACCTGATCTTGCGGAATAAAGATCTTGCTGATTCTTTACTTGATCCATAGGTCTTGCGGAATAAAAACTTTACCTGATCCAGTTTTCTCAAGTTGGGTTAATGTTATCAAAAAAGCGCCTATCACAAAATGTTCTAGAAATTAAAAGAACTTAAAGGGCATCTGTTTTTTCTTTGAAATTCGAAAGTTGAGATTTTTGAAGAAATTTCTTGTTTTTTTTTATGTTTTCTTGCGTTCATTACTCTTTTCCAATCTTCGATTGGCCATGTTTTTCATTTAAATTCGAAACCTGAAATTTAAAAAAAAACCGTTTTTCTTCTGTCCTTGCATTCATGACTCATGTTTTTGCATTCATGTCTTGCATTCATGTTTTGTCACTTAGTTACCACCTTGTAGATTTTTTTCGTGTGGTCAGCAATTTTTGTCGTAGATGCCAGTGCTTTTGATGTATTCCTATAATTTTTGAAATAAATTGCCCTGACTTTGTATATTTTAGTTTTTGGTTTTTGTTTCACTTAGAAGCTTATTTCACTTGTTTTTTCAGGTTAAGTATTTTCGGCTTATGTGTTATTGTCCTAGTTACCTTGATTTGTGTCGCTTCAAGGGCAAAAAATATAAATTAAAAGTTAGCTTGTCTTAGTTCCTCATAAAATTTTCTAGCGATATTTTGTTTTTTGCTCATCGAGCGGTTTAGAACTGTTGTTTTTGGCTCAATGATTTCATTTTTGGGCCATTGGCCGCTGGTTAAAAAAAACAAAGACCTATTTTTTTGCTTCTGTGAAAGGTTTGTCCAGGCTCAAATTTTACTTTTTTTAGTTCAGTTCATTTTCTTTGTTAGTAGGAAAGCATACTTCACTATGGAATAGCGAAAGTGTAGTCACGAAAAACGTGATCAACTTTGAATTTTGAAAATTGTTTTAATTTATCAGGGTTTCCAAGCCAGTTAAATAATTTACCTATTGAGCCAGTTTCTTCAAATTGGTTTAATTTTTTCCAAAAAGTTTCCATCATAAATTTGTAGAAACTCAGCTCTTTACAGCCATCTTCTTTTTTCTTTGACATTTGCATTTTGAGAGCTCAATTTTTTTTCTGTTTACTTGCTTTCGTCGACTTTTTCGAACTGTCTGTTGTTGCGTTTGATTTGTGAGATTTTTCGTTGCTTGTCTAATTTTGCGTTTTTCTTGAATTCTAATAAATAGCTAACAGTCTTTGGTTTTATTGCTTGATGTTAAAAATTGATTGATCTGCCCTCGGCTGGTTTTTTACAGTCAGAGAAATTTTCTCTATAATCTATATCTATACTATATTTAAATGCGAGTGACAGCTATCTCACATGCTTAAGCATAATAATTTTGCATGTTTAACGAAAGAATTTTTTCATGTTTAAGCTATATCATATATTGCAATGCTTAAGAAAATTTTCGAATAAATTTTCCGCAAGGTCACTTTGTTCAGTAATTTACTTTCGAGGGTAAGTTAGGTTTGTCTTTCTGTATACCTGCTTTTTAAAATTATTTTTATTATGTCTGTCTACCCGTCTCCTAATTTTTTAATTTTCTATTTGACTTCGACGACTCAGTTCAAAACAGTACTACTGTCAAACGGTTGTCTCCTACCTTTCTTTATCTTTATCTGGATTTTCAATTTTTTCTATCATTTTCGAGCCTTTTTTCATCTTTTCTGTTTTTTTAAATTTTTTTCTATCTTTTTTTTTCGATCCTTTTTTCTATTTTTTTTCTAACTTTTTTGTGTCTGTTTTGGATCCTTCTTTTTTTTCGTCTTTTTTTCGATCCTTCCGTATCGATTTTTTTTCTAGCGTTTTTATCTTTAGTTCGAGCCTTCTTTTTCGATCTTTTTATCTTTTTTTCTCTGTCTTTTTTTCGATCCTTCTTTTTCTATCTTTTTTTCTGTGTTTTTTCGATCCTTTTTTCTCGATACTTTTTTAAATCTTTTTTTACATCTTTTTGTGTTCTTTTTTTCGATCCTTCTTTTTTGTTTTTTTTTCTATCTTTTTGTCTGTTTTTCGATCCTTCTTTTTCGATCTTTTTCTATTTTCTTAGATCTTTTTTTTTGTTCTTTTTTCGATCCTTCTTTTTCTCTTTTTTTTCTATCTTTTTTTCGATCCTTCTTTTTCTATCTTTTTTTCTTTGTTTTTTCGATCCTTTTTTCTCGATCTTTTCTTCTATTTTTTTTCTGTGTTTTTTTGGGCCTTCTTTTTCGATACTTTTTTTAATCTTTTTTTTCACATCTTTTTATGTTCTTTTTTCGATCCTTCTTTTCTGTCTTTTTTTTTCTATCTTTTTTTTGTCTTTTTTTTCGATCCTGCTTTTTTGTCTTTTTTCCGATCCTTCCGTATCGATTTTTTTTCTAGCGTTTTTATCTTTAGTTCGAGCCTTCTTTTTCGATCTTTTTATCTTTTTTTCTATCTTTTTCTCTGTCTTTTTTTCGATCCTTCTTCTATCTTTTTTTCTGTGTTTTTTTGATCCTTTTTTCTCGATACTTTTTTTAATCTTTTTTTTATCATTTTTTTATGTTCTTTTTTTTATCCTTGTTTTTCGATTTTTTTTCTTTTTTTTTCTATTTTCTTCGATTCTTCTTTTTCGCTTTTTTCTGTCTTTTTTTTGTCTTTTTTTCGATCCTTCTTTTTCGATCTTTTTCTATTTTCTTAGATCTTTTTTTTGTTCTTTTTTCGATCCTTCTTTTTCTCTTTTTTTTCTATCTTTTTTTTCGATCCTTCTTTTTCTATCTTTTTTTCTTTGTTTTTTCGATCCTTTTTTCTCGATCTTTTCTATTTTTTTTTCTGTGATTTTTGGGCCTTCTTTTTCGATACTTTTTTTAATCTTTTTTCACATCTTTTTTTTCTTTTTTCGATCCTTCTTTTCTGTCTTTTTTTTCTATCTTTTTTTTGTCTTTTTTTTCGATCCTGCTTTTTTGCTTTTTTTCTATCTTTTTTGTCTTTTTTTTCAATCCTTCTTTTTTTTTGTATTTTTTTCGATCCTTCCGTATCGATTTTTTTTTCTAGCGTTTTTATCTTTAGTTCGAGCCTTCTTTTTCGATCTTTTTATCTTTTTTTCTATCTTTTTCTCTGTCTTTTTTTCGATCCTTCTTTTTCTATCTTTTTTTTCTGTGTTTTTTCGATCCTTTTTTCTCGATACTTTTTTTACTCTTTTTTTATCATTTTTTTATGTTCTTTTTTTTATCCTTGTTTTTCGATTTTTTTTCTTTTTTTTTCTCTTTTCTTCGATTCTTCTTTTTCGCTTTTTTCTGTCTTTTTTTTGTCTTTTTTTTCGATCCTTCTTTTTAGCTTTTTTTTCTAACTTCTGTTTTTTTTCGATCTTTTTTTTCCTATTTTTTTTGTGTCTCTTTTTTGATCTTTTTTTCTAACTTTTTTCTGTTTTTTTGTCGATTCTTCTTTTTCTATCTTTTTTTTCTATCTTTTTTTTCTGTCTTTTTTATCCATCTTCTTTATATCTTTTTTCGATCTTCTTTTTCCCTATTTTCTTAGTTTGTTCTGTAGTTGGGTGCTATCAGAGTTTTCTCAGGAGTTGAGAATGTTGCTTCCAAACATCACTGCTCAAGTCCTTGTAGTTTTCGAGATATGACGTTTTTTCAAATTTTTTTCAAAGTTTATCACAAAACTCAATTTTTGTATTTTTTTAAATTTGAAATTCCTAACTCTTTAAGTAACATATCAGCAATTCTTCATTTTGAGCTGCTATAATTGATTGCTTCCTTTTATTATTGTAGAATTTGCAAATTTTGTGTTATTATTAAGCTGCTCTCTGATTCATGGTTAAACTGCAATGGTGCCTATTATTAGCTTAGATTTAGAATCATTTTGGTTTTATTGGCTTTCTGCTTGCTTGTTTTTGAGCATTACTTTGAAATTGTCTTTTAAAAGGAACAAAGTATTCAACTTTAATCTTGTCTTTATTATACGGAAAATGGTAATTGAATAAGTTACTGAATGTTGTTTTCTTGAGTCATGAGCTGATGTGCGATTGATATTAAAGGAGTTTATATTGCGTCGACCTCTGCCCAGATATTTTCGACCTTGTTAACGTTTGATAAGTTTCATTCGATGCTAATTTTTCGTTCAATTCTTATGCCATATTTTTTTGAAATTAGTTTTCATTTTAATAAATCTAGTTTTTTACGAGGTTTTTTATCGCTAGTAGTGCGAAATTTTGCTTCGCCTCTGTGTTTTTTCTTGATTGAATGGGTCGTGCATTTAGTGTTTCTTGCACAGCAAACAGTTATTCTTCTTGTTATTTAGGAATTTCGTTTACATAAAAATCTAAGAGCTAGCATCTCAACGTGAGGTTCAAGCACAGAATAACTAATTATCAATTTTTCCTTAATTATGAGTTTTACAGAAAAGGAC